AAACAAAAAAAAAAACTTTTCTTTTTCCGAAGTACTACATTCCTAGATACTTTTCTGTAAAACAAACTAGCAGTTCTAGCTGGCCAGAGGCCCAAGGAGGTAAGTAAGTTAATTAACTTTTTTAACTCGTTTGCGAACAGAAACCGTGACCCCTGCTTTGATTCTTGGCACGTAACTACTATTGAACTGAATTAGATTGAGTTTAAATGACTTCGGCAAAACTAATAGATGCTAACTTGTAATTATATGTATATTTAGGTAGGTAGGTATATTCATACCTGCTTTATATTTTGTGGGATATGTCGGTAAATCAACATATTGATCAGCTGGTGGTAAGCAATTAGCGCCGCCCGTGGACACAAGCAACACTGAAATACTATTTTCATGATATTAGGTATATATAAAATAAACAACTATTTAAATTCAGAAATATTTTTTAAGGTGGAAGAAAATAAGAAACCTGTACTAATTGCAATATATTGATGAAAAAAAAATAAACTACTGTAACTATTAAAGGACATTTAATAATTATTTCAACTATACCTTTTGTTGCGAGTACAACTACAATAAAATTTTCAAAAAGTTGATTACGGCGATAAGTTGTCTATACATACGTCATCATGTTCAATAATATAATGATTCCATCAACCTCACCTCCGTGGAAATATAGTAACCTCACCCAAACAGCGAAATACAACGCTGCAGTTATTGCACGTCGGTTTTCTGCAAGGCCGTAGTATCACTCCGGTCACATTTACAAACAAATTAAGGATAACAATTGATCAAGAAACTACTCGTGCCAAAATAGACCGTAATAAATCCTACTATTTAGTTTTATAAATATGAAACTTTGGTTTGCATGTTTCTTATTCTTTCACGCAAAAACGACTAGACAATTTTGTTGAAATTTGGTAGGTATGTAGATAGATACTCTTTTTTGTGGGGGAAAAATCATCAAATGAATTTTAGGTCGCGGTGTCTAATTGCCCTGCAACCCCGGATTATGTAGATAGAAAACCTGGATTAAAACATAGGATGCTTTATATCAACATACATGTGGGCAAAGCCGAGAGCAGAAGCTAGTATTCAATGAAATACAATACAAAAACATTTCAGACAATCATAGAATTTTAGTGGCTCTCGTAACAGATGTAATATCTCGATATTTCGATAGACTACCGTCGGTATCAAGGGATGGCCTCGAAATTGTCTATTGCTTAACCCGTCAATACGAACTTGTGGTCGCTAAGCGTACAAATTACCAATAACAGGTAGATTCTCTATGGAACTGTACAGTTATAACGGTTGCAGGGTTGATCTGGAATCAATTATATTAAATTTGAAATAAGAACGAGTATTTAGCGACCTTTGTCGAACAAATTATGCGTGTTAAATAAATAATGTGCGTTCACGAATTCTATGTCGGTGTTGCTTTTGTTATGGGTACAACTATCGTCCAGGCATTAAGGATAAGATGTGTTTTTTATTAATCATAAACATTTGTAGGGAATAATGATATAACCAGTAAAAAGTTTGGCAATGTGTAAAAAGGTAACAACAATTTGCGAAATAATAAAAAAAAACCTAGAAATAATTCTATATTTAATTCTTGAATGTTTTACAGGATTTAATGCGGCGTCATAAAGTATACGTTCGTCAGGTATAACCCTGCCGAAACGTCAAGCGAAAACCAAATAAAAGTTAAATCCCGTAAAACAATAAAGAAGTAACAATGATCATAACATCGTTATTTTCAACATTATCACAAAGGCTATTTCTACATTAATACTCCTTCGTTAGCGTTCGCATTGGTCAAGCAACTTTCACATGATTAAACAAGCACTCATAATGTTGAAGAGTTTAATATTTGTTCAGAGGTACCTACTCACTAGTCAGTTAAAACTTTGCTAATAACACTCCCACTTATCAAAAACTAACAATCTACTGCTTATTTCATTTGAATGCGCGTAGTGTGGATGCGCTTTTAGCCCTTACGTGGAATGAAAAGTTTGCCTAGAACTGGAATTGTATATTTTTCAGTATCCATCTGGTAAATGAATCTGAAACATCTGGTTAGTATTTTTTAAAGAGATTAACATTAGATTCCTTCCTTCCTTGGTGGAAAGAGTGGAAGTGTCTCTTACTGTCTAAAAATATCCTGTTTCTTTTGTTTTTAAGAAAAGGTTTGCATTATTGTTCTTGCACTCGCAACCTAGGAGAACACGGTTAGTTTGCTGCGCGATGTAGCCAGGTCCGTTGCTGATAAAATAACAGTCTTATTGTATTTTTTCTGTTCTGACATAATCAAAGGCTTTTGAATAAATTGAGCGACATCAAGATTTTGTACATTTACTTCTATTTGTGACGTGGTGACCTCCAACTATAATTCAATACAATCATCTAAGTATTTTTTTTATAACCGACAAAATAATAAGTCTAAAATTATTGGATAATCGATAAAATTTAAAGTTTACTAAGTATTTAAAAGAACACAATACGAATAAAAATCTAAAAATAAATAAAATTAACGAATTACAAAAAAAACTTTGTTATTTCAGCAAATTTGTAGAATTTCGTTTTAATTTTAACTTAAACATAAAAAACGTAATCTCGTTATTTTAAGACCCAGAATACATCTAATTAAAATGGAAATAACAATAAAATAACAATTTATACGTTACAACCCTAATCTTGGTTCAAATGCTACTAGTTGAAGTTAAATTGATCAATTAAAACTTGAACGTCTCCAAGATAACTTCTGAAGTCGTTTCGAATGGTCGCACTATCTCTATCAATTTTTTTGAAGTCTTTATATTGATTCACTACTTGTTTCATCTTCAGCTTTTGCTTTGATACTATATTTTCTCCCATTAAAATAGTTGACTTAATTTTATACTAATATAAAATTCTCGTGTCACAATGTTAGTTACCGAAACAGCTTTACTATCTTTTACCAAATTATATATGCATATTCAGTAGGTCTGAGAATCAGTTCTGACTTTTTTTAATACCCTTGCGTGGTAAGTGTTATTCACCCTTAACATTTTTTTTCATAATATTTTTTTTGTGACAAAACAACGTTTGAAAGGTCGGTAAGTATTTTAATAAAAATAAATATAAAAACAATAATCGGCTCTTTATAGAAAATTAAGCTTTTATAAATATCACTACACCTTGGCTGCGGCAATTTTTAGACTCTGACATATTTTTATTTTATTCATTTAAGTTTCACACTTTATTTAAATCTCTCGCTCGGTGTTAGATTCTGAGGAAGACATAATGCCTGAGTCATTCTTCATCCAATATAGTCTTTGAACGATACCGTAAATTATTATTTTGAACCATCGATCACTAATAAAGTATTAGTGATCGATGTTTTGAACAGAAGAATCCTCAAATAGCTTTGTACACGCAGGGTGAGGGGAAAGGGAGTGTCAGACTCTTACTGACAAAATCCATCCCGTTCCTTCAGTACAGAGACGAGCCATTGATTGTATAAGAACCAATCAAACACACAAACATAGGTTGCAAAAATGCCGACCGATTTTGCTAATTATTGAACCGATGCGACAAAACTAAAACGTATAGTCTTTAGCAGAATAGACTTACCTTATACTAATAGAATAGCAATTATCAATTTAAATTAACCATTTAAAGATATTTTAACAGCCCTATTAAACTTTGAGATAATTGTGGAAGGTAGTTAGTCATACATAAGTACATCATAATACAAACCTGCATATAAAACAATTCCGCAAGCCATCCACGGTCAAACCCCAAAAAACAGAAATTGCACACAAAAAAAAATACTTACTTCTACTTACATCTAACTACTTAATTACTTATTTGAATAACACGAATATTATGCATTCACATTCAAATAGGTATGTTTTTATATTTTATTTCTTATAAATATTCAGTCAATTGTAAATGTATTATCATTATGATAATTTAATAGGACATCGCATAATGAGTGTTTAAGCCGAAGTGTCAGCGTCAACAAAAAACGATAATTGGACGGCAGCACCGTGACTCAAACGATAAACAAATTACAAAAACGTTACGGCACTCGAAATATTCAAGCGATGTCAAAAACTCGGACACTAGAATGAAACAGTAATAAAAATACAGTTGAATGTCGAATGCTAGAGATGCTTGGAAAATTGTTCAGTATTTAAAAACTAGTACATTTCAGTTGAGCATTTCATTTCTCTGCTATTAAAATTATATAAAAATGTTGAGTGTTGCCGCGTTTCTGTTGCTTTTTGCTCAACATGATTGTTTCAAAACTTTACCTTTTCATAATAGTACGAAGGAGGTTCTATATCCTTTAAGGTCTGGTGTACTTGGATATAAAAGAACGATTCCAGATTATTTTGATTGGAGAGATCACGATGGCGTTTCACCGGTAAAGGATCAAATGCATTGTGCTGCGTGTTGGGCTTTTAGTGTTGTTGGTAAAATATTTAAAAATTTTGTTATTCTACTAATATTTATGCAGTTGCAAGTTCCACTTTAGTTGTCGGTGTAATGTCTATCACTGGTCAGGAAAAACTATTATTTCAATTTTAGATTCTTTGCTTTGAGCTGTTTCAAACATCACGCATCATCAGCCTATAAGTGCCCACTTCTGAACAAAGGCCTCTGACGGCCTCGGACTTGTAATTTCTAATTAGATTAATAGATTAGTAATTAGAAATTACGAGTCCAGATTTCCTACTCGATGTTTTCCTTACCGTTTGTCTGTTGTCTCTTAATACAGTACCACACCACCAAATAACTTATGTCCTTTAGGATTAGTACTGAGACTTAAGAAATTCAAATTTGAGTAAATCTTCTTCGCAATCAAGTCCTCTTTATTAAAGGCAAAGATATACAAATTTTCTCGTCTAGATCAAAAATAAAAATACAAGAATTATTTATAAATATTTTACTTTCAGCGAAAGTAGGCTTTTAGGAATGCTGAACACGTTATTAATACTTAATATTAATTTTTCCAGCAAACATTGAAAGCCATCGCAGGATATACTTAAATGAAAATGATATTCTATCAGAGCAGTTTCTCATCGATTGCGATGTTATGCAAGATGGATGTGCTTACGGATCCCTCATCCAATCGTTTGCGTAAGTTTTATTAGCTTTCTTTAATATGTTTCAAAATCAAATTAGTGTTACAGTTTTTTTCTTCACCAGAATTATTTATATATTTATAAACACCCCGCACCCATGAAACAGAACAAAATACTAGTGTCATCAAATGATTTAAAAAAATAAACATCGCAAATATTTACCAAGACTACTATTTTCGAGTTGGAAAATCATCAAATTCTCCCGCTCTGGTCCAAGTGAGAGTCGAAGACTCTTACTGACTAAAATCCACCCTGTTCCTCCTCTTACTCCAAGCCTTGGTCACAATAAATTATTGTTCTTGTACTCGCAAACCTGTTTGTAGCCGGTGCAACCATATGATGATATTCTCCGACTCAATTCGAAGTAACGCACCATCATCGTGCGTAAGTACCCGATAGACTTATAGGGTGTAGCTCAAATTATTTACGTTAGAATAGAATAGAATAACTTTATTTGCTACGTTCCACATTAAAATTTTTCTTAATTAACTAAAAATTGCGGGTAGATTAGCCAGTAGGCTGCGCGACATTGCCGCGTCCGCGCACCCTGCTCATGATGAAGAACCCCTTTGTGGTTCGAAATTAGTAGAGCTTTTCTCAGTATACTCACGTGAGTAATTTTTACGCGATTTTTAGTTAATTTAGCTTGTCTCACGATAGTAAAATTTATCTTGTACATAATGACTCCAGATATTGTAAAAAAGGCCTTTAATGATAGCAAATTACGGGCATTTGTGTATAGATATCACACAAAATTATAAACTTAAAAAAATACATTTTAGAAATATTGCAACAACATTTGGAGGCGTGCTTCGTGATGAAGATTACCCTGGCTATTCTGATAGAAAAGAGGAGTGTCGGTGGCAGAAATATAAAGGTTTCTCCTATTTCCAAGTATCTCCAAGTCCAAAAGCAATACCCGTTGTAGGGTTCCGAAGAGTCAACCCTGACGAATCCATCATGGCGTACTATATCTACACACATGGTCCTCTTTCCGCAGGTAAGCAAAAACTTGGAACAACAAAATCATTTCATTCAAGCACTTTTTTTCGATTTTATATTATTGTGCCAAATAGATTTAGAATAAAATTTAATAAATATTGTGTTTATAAAATAATATATTTTAAATAATTTTGCGTGCGTTTTCGCACGCTTACGCGAGCAAAACGTAATGTATCCTAGTATAAAAACAGCAACGTTTAAAGTAATAGCGCTGTTAGAATGTCTTTGTAAACGTGTGTCTTTGTAAACGTGTGTCTTTGTAACGTGTAACTTTACAGGCTCCGTAAATGCGACTTGTCCTATTAGAATAAAACAATTAAAATGTGACAGCGAACTTCACTCTCTTGCCATTATTAATTCGCCGTGTATTGTGTCGATCTACAAATAAACTTTTTTAAATCTTTGCTTATACAAACAATTGCATATTATTTCGACCACATCCCTTCAAGCGCGACTATCAGTGAAAGAGTTTTGGAAATTAAAAGGAAGTAAATTTAGATAATTACTGTTGACATTAAATAATTTATAATGTAATTGACAAGTACTGTACACAATTGACATGTAATATTTTATTTTTGACATTTGTTTTTATAATTTGTATAATTAATTTAATATTAATATGTTTGTACAGGTAATTAATTGAATAATGATATGTATAAATTCAATAATTGTAATAATTTTTCAACACAAATGTATTTTTGTTTATGAAATAAATAAATAAATAAAATTCGACCAGCGGTTCCAAAGAAAATCCCCTACATAGAAACTTACAAATATTATCTCTTAATAATGTTAGCATAGATTGTTAAAGTCATAAAAAAGTAATGACATTATTGGTTGTTTATGCAGTTCTTAACGTTCTTGAACTTCATACTGATGGTATAAACTACATGAAGGATATATGTATCTATAAAATAAGTTATTTATTTCACGTGCAAATACTCATTCTTAGATAACGTTAACGATTGTTTTTTAGCCAAGTTTAACAAATTATTTCAAATTTTATAATATTTATTTAGTCTGTTCAAAAATAATGTAATTAGGTTATCTAGGAGTTTTTATGTAATAGATCGCAAACGAGCAGACGGATTACCTGATGGTAAGCAATCAGCGCCGCCCATGGATACCCGCAACGGAGGAGTTACGAGTGCGTTGCCGACCTTTTAGGGATTAGGGATTTGGAGATTAACGGATTGAGGAGGAATTGGGATTGGGCCTCCGGTAACCTCACTCACACGGCGAAACACAACCTTGTGGTTGTTTCACGCCGGTTTTATAATAATATATTAGATATATTAGATTCTTATAATAATATAATTTAATGACAAATATCAATGATAAAAATTTTAATAATATTAATTTAACAAATAGATTGTCGTGACAATCACATTATTAATCACATTTGCATCACTTTGTGAAGATTGTTTTTTTTTTATTTTAATGCAACGACCAAGTCAATTTACATTTTAAAACATAAAAGTATTCTATCCTTACGAAGCGTCGTCATGCTTCGAGAAATTGATGGTACGATCGTGTCATTTTTTTTAAACTTTGCGGTACTATCGTGCCACCAAATATATGGCTATTGACTTTTTTTTCTAGCAATCAACTCGCAATCCATGGTTCGGTACAAGGGAGGCATAGATGAACCGACAGACAAGAACTGTAATCCTAGTATTCTGAACCATGCAGTCTTGATCGTTGGATATAATGTTTACAGTGAGTAATAAATTTCTATTCACATCAAAACCTGGACTGCCCTTTATCCTAATCAGGACTCTTTATACGATAAAAAGGAAAATTCTGATGTATTAATATAGATAGAGATAGACAACTGTGATCTGTCTTTGGCCACATTGTCGCTTCCTACCAGGCAAAATGGCGGTCACGCGCTGATCTATTAAACGTATAAGAAATTTTACCTTTTCTAAAACGACATCTCATCACAAAAAAATATTAATCTAGGTACGATCGATATATCATCATCAGCCTATAAGTGCCCACTGCTGAGCAAAGGTCTCTTCTCATACGGAGAAGTTTAGAGCATTGATCACCACGCTTGCTTTTTTTTTTATTTAATAGGTCGGCAAACGAGCAGACGGATTACCTGATGGTAAGCTATCAGCGCCGCCCATGGACACTCGCAACGGAGTAGTTACGAGTGCGTTGCCGACCTTGTAGCAGCGATGTAAATATTGTTGAAATAAAACAAGAGTAGTGTTGTGTAGAAATAGGAGCGTATATTTTCTGTTCATACATTGAGCTTAAGTACAAAATCACTGGGGCTGAAGTAATGGCAGTAGTGCGATAAAAGCGTCGCGCGATTGTCCAATAAGAACCTGCCTTTCCTGACTCTGCAAGTAGCTAAAAGAAACGACACAGGTGCGCGCGCGAGCGAGATAGCACTTACGTAAATATAACGCGTTCGCAGCGCGTGCGATCTTCATTTCTATGCGATGCGTGACTCGAGGATGATGTAGCGATGCGTACCTCACAACCTTTTAGGGATTAGGGATTTGGAAATTTAGGGATTTAGAAGGGATTGGGGAGGGGGAAGGATTGCTCAATGCGGGGTGGCGATTTCAAACTTATAATTAGAAATTATAAGTCCAGGTTTCCTCACGATATTTACCTTCACTGTATGTCAGTAGTGTCTAAATAAATCATAGAAAGTACTTATAACTCAGAAAAAGTCACATTGGTACTTGCTAGGTTTCGAACCCTCATGCATGAGAACGGGCTCGGGCTCGGGATAATATACCTAATTCTGTATAAAATTTTGTTTTCAGTATCTGAAACCGGCAAACGAACTCCTTACTGGATAATAAAGAACTCGTGGGGTACTGAATGGGGCGACTATGGATTCTACTACTTGGTGCGCGGGCGCAATGCATGCGGCATCGCTAGTGATGTATCATTCGCTTACGTCGCATGAAAAATATTAATAATTTAAAATAATTTACGTGGGGAAAATAAAAGCTACAGAAAACAGCACTCTTCTTTTAAAAATATAATTAAACCAAAAATAATATGCGCCCGTACCTTCTTATTTGTTTTTTTCTTGACGTTTCGGCAGGGTTACACTTGCCATGGCCACAACTAGACAGTTGGGCGATACTACACCGTCGATTGATCTTCACATAGGTAGCAACACAAAGGAAGAAGTAAAACAGCAAGCAATGTGTAAAATATGCAACGCGAAAGTTTAGGGTATAATAAAAATAAAATAGATAACATAAAAAATAAAATAAAATTATTATTAAAATAAGTTACCGACATTTTTCAATTCTGCTTACTGTACTCAATAAACTACAGTATATTTATATATTCTTTATTTTTCCCTGATTTGGTTTAAGCACTTTGGAGTGGTGGTACCTTTCATATATTTAGTTTCTTTCACATTTTAATGTGTTCCAGTCGAATTGATGAGTAACAAAAATGTTCAACCATTTTGAATTACGAAAGGGACGGCGATTTGAAGACCGATGTTAAAGCAGAAACAACGAGAGAGACACAAATAACAAAAGACGATCATGGGACGATTTACATTTTCATGTTATGAAAATTATTATTCCTACAGTATGGTAATTTTCAACTAGTAAAATTCAATACTTTTTCCGAAGAGACGGAAGCGAATTTTTTCTATGTATGAGGTAGCACGTTTTGAAGTCATAATTTTTACTTCAAATAGCATAATAGATCTTAAATTATCTAAAAAATACGAATATTTTGTATATCACAAAATTAATTAGGTAATGAACGTTTGATGATTTTTTAACATTTCATGATTTTTTAAGTTGAAATAATCATTTTAACTAAACTATCCAATTTGGAAATTTTATATCTTATTCGGGTTTAAGTAATTTCTGAGTTATCTAATTAAATCTTGCCTATTACACGACAATTTACAACATGACTCCCAAAAAATATTGTTCCATTAAAAACGCGAGTGCATCAATACCCATCTCTTTACGCAATAAACTCTTAATAAATCTCAATCTAGGACCAACAGATCAAATCCAGATTTTGACCCTTAGTTAATACAATTTCAAGGATCGTTGCTCTCTGATGTCAAACACATTTGATTGCGATCCGTGACCAATAAAGTTTAATAATAAGCTAATCTGTACAACAGGTGATGTGAAGGAGGTTTGCTTTGAACTTGAATTAAAATAGATTTTAAATAATGACATCAGGGGTATAACAGTTAAATTGATGTGTTTACATAAATACTATTTTACAAAATATATTCGCATATCCAAACTAATATGCGAAAGTAACTCTGTCTGTCTGTCTGTCTGTATTTTCTTCACGCCTAAACTACTGAACCTATTTGTGTGAAATTTGGTACAGACATAGTTTGGAACTCAAGAAAGGACATATGATAGTTTTTAAATAAAAAATCTGCAAGAAGTCACTATTCCACGCAAACAAAGTCACGGGCAAAAGCTAGTTATTAATATTTTTGTATATGATGTGGCAGCGGCAGCTAGCTGATGGTAAGCAATTGGCGCCGCCCATGTAGGTACACCAGCAACACCAGAGAAGTTGCAAGTGCGTTGCCGGCCGTTTGGGTATATGGCCTTTTGGTGATATAGGGATTGGGGGATGGTTAGGGGAAGGGAACTTGAGGTAAGTATGAGTGAGGCTCACACAGCAAAATGCAAGTCACGCCGGATTTCTGTGAAGCCATGGTATCACTGCGGTCAAGCCGGTCTATTCGCACAGCTCGTAGTCGTGCTCTCCCACACAAAAAATGTATTATTCCACACTAAAATTCTGTCACTATCTTCTACTTATTATCTTTCTTCTCATTATCTTTTTCTTACGATTAGTAGGTAATACTTACATTAAAAAGACAAAAATCCATTATTTTGGCATTTGTCTTCTCTTCTCTTCTTCTTTTCTCTAAGCCAAATTATTTGATTTTGTGTCTAAGTTTGCTAAAGATTTTTTATTTCACTTGCCTGTAAAGCGATCACTTCCTAAACTATATCACTTGTAAGTTTTCGACATTCATTTACAGCGAATAGGTCTACAGGCCCTTACATCACTGAATATGTTAGCTCATTTATTCATAATGACCACAACTTTATTTCCATTAAAGACCTTGGTAACTTATAAACCTATAATCAAGTATGAACGAAGCACAGCAAACTGGAACGTATCACAATAAAAATAAAATACAACTTTAATTAACCGTTGAACAACTTAAAGAAAGTGTACAAACAAAACATAAACAACGCACCTTACTTATTCAACGAAACATTATGAATAACACAGATTTGTAATAAAAACGGAGGAACTTTAATAACAACAAAGTTGGCAAAACTTTCTGTTGTTTTAAAACTCGCTGAAGAATTTTATATGAAACAATAAAGTCTGTTGCGGTGGAGAGGAATTTGCGAGACATTTCGTGTCAGACTGTTTTTGATTACTTACATACATATTCACTCTTTTCATTCCTTAAAGTCGATATTAAATTCAAACTGACTTTTATTGACTGCACGGTTGGACAGTGTTGTGTGATCTACAAATTGTTGTTTCGGGTCTAGGTGACTTGTGACAACAAAAAACAAAATCATAGTGTGAGGCCTTGTTTTAAAATAATTCATATACAAAAGCTAAGCTAAGCTAAAATTACTAAATTTATTTTAAAAACTAAATAACTGACCATTTACTGAAATAATTTAAAACTATAGCGTTTCTAATTGGTCATAGTTTTTTTTTCTTTCTTACCTGTACTTAAATGGATATTGTCACATCTTTACTTTTTCGTATTAAGGAATCAAACATGAAATGGGCTGAATATATGTATAGTATTTCACGAAATATAATGCGATAAAAATTATAAGTTCAAATTCAAATTCAAATGTTCATTGCATTCCATAATGTTACATTATTATCATGTATGTATGTATGTATGTAATAAAATACTATAAAAAGCCAAAAGAGTCTTATATATAAATATTATTATCATTGAAATAAATAATTTAATGTTGACTAAATTACACGAAGGTTTAATAGCTAATGTCTGAAAACACATGGCAACGATATTTTAACATGATAATATTTTCATATGTTGTATAATAATAATATGTTAAAATATTATAACGTTGTTCCGAGAAATGACATAACAGTCTGTCTGGTAGCTGGAAAACATATAGATGTTTGGAAAATTACGGCATTTATGAATAGTTTGTATAATAAGCAAAGTAGGTACAAATTATTTACACATTTTGTGAAAGTCGTTTTGTATATCTAGTATATTAATTTTTACTCAGAAAAATGAACAACAAAAATAATGGTAGAATGAAGGCAAACGATGTAAGGTCAAACAAAGTGTAAAATATGTACAGAGCTTTTTTTATTGAAGCCGTCATTTCCTATCAGATTACTGTAAGAAAAAATACCGAAAAAAATCATTATCTTTTAAAGTCCAAACAATGTAAAAATAATGTATAAGTAGATCCATTTAAGTTCATTGTGAAGTGGTCTTTTGGGGAAACAACCACACCAGTTTGAGTGGACCTGCTTTGACGACAGGCACACCAGTCTCAGTTTACAATCAGCTCGACAATTCCAAACTTGGTAACCAGCTCCACTAACGAATTTCAAACTTCGTAGAACCAATAATTATGGTACAAATATGAAACCTGGTAGAAAAGAAGATAATCTAAATCTATAAAGTATTTATTTTTCTTGAAAAATCTTGCTTTAGAAATCCTTCGATCAATTTGTTTTATACATCTTTTAATTTGTTTTTTTTTTCTTTATCTGACTTGTCTTTTATTTCACTTAATCTGACTGACGGCAAGGTTCCCGCAGTGGTTTGGCAACTGGATGTTGCACAACATGTTATAAACAATTCCTTATGTGATCCACAAATAGTCATTCTGAGCTTAGATGAAATGTATATAAATTGTATGTGTTTGTAAACGCACCCACGACATGAAAGAAAATCATGCGTGTAACGTTAAAAGAACCATGTCCGACACTACAAATACACACGAGGCTAAGGAAGGTTTTATTAATTGGTATAAAACTTAACAAATAGGTCGGCAATGTTTTGGAACATAATATTGAGGATACATCCCGAATATCGGCCAGCAAGCAATAATAGATTCGCCCACAGCAACATGGGATTGATGAGAAAGTTTTACGAGTGGGTAGTGATACTATTCGTGTATTTTTATAATGGGATATATCAAGCACGTTACTTTCTGATCTAAACAGAATGGATATTAATAAGGTTTCTCATTAAATGTATTGTTATTTCGTAATTAGAAGTTTGCTTAATGAAAACGCTTAACACAATCCCAAAAGTTTGCCATTGCTGAGAATTACTCCTAATTTAGGTACCGGAAAAATCCCGACGTACATGATTGAAACGTTTCAGACTAAGAACATTATGTAATATATTAAAAATAATTAACAAAAAAATACTTTGTCAAGGCATTTACCAACATCCTTTATTTTGCGTGCGAGAGGGTTTTTTTATGTAATAGGTCGGCAAACCTGCAGACTGCTGGTGAGGACACCCGCAACGGAGGAGTTACGAGTGCGTTGTCGACCTTTAGGGATTAGGGATTTGGAGATTTTGGGAAAGGGAACGGATTGGGGTAGGGGAAAGATTGGGACTCCGGTAACCTCACTCACACGGCGAAACACAACTCTTTGGTTATTTCACGCCGGTTTTCTGTGAGGCCGTGGTATACTCCGGTCGAGCCGACCCATTCGTGCCGAAGCATGGCTCTCCCACACTTGAATTTGGATTGCTCTAAATGACTAAAAACCACCCTGTTTCCTTGAATATGATGGAAAGCTAAATACATACGTTTATAAGGATGGTACTAGCTAGTAACTACATTGAGAAACATTAGGTATAAGTTTATTTATGAGGTGAAAAACCTAGTCAATATCAAAGCTTTGACA